AACTCCCTTTGAGGGTACAGCCACTAACAATCTCAGTTTCTAATCTAAACTACCAATAATAAAATATTTAGCTATTTACAGATCAGTCAACAAATCTAATTCTTTTAAAAAATCAACTATTAAATGATAACTAACATTATAAAAAAGATCCTTCAATGTTTTGACATTGAAATACTTATCCCTTGTGATGGAATATTCAACACAGTCAAGCAGGACATGCTTGACCGTGATTCTTTCATCACAAGGGATACAAAACGGAGGATCCTCACCTTTTAATAGGTATTCATGAGTATATCGTGTGTGGACAACACAACATCGTCGTATGATGACCTCTTCAAATCTGGACTGACAACCCAAGTAGGTGTAACCGATAGTTGGTTTTATTGCAAGTAATTTATTGATACCTACTTGGGTATCAGATCACGAATATAAGATCTAATAGCAGCTTTGTAATCAGAGTACGGGATCAGAAGTGGTGTCACAGTTTTGTTGAGTGCTGCCTTGGCAGCAAGATCGGCCATTGTATTCCCAGAAATGCCAACGTGGCTGGGTAACCAACAAAAGACAAGGTCGCATTGGCAAGGTCATTATACAATTCAATAAGGGGGGAGGAAAGGGATGTTGGGGGTGCAAGGATCAACTTCTTGTACAGAAAATGATTTTGGAAGAGGCTAAAACATATCACCGCAACCTCTCCATGTGCTGGATTGACTACAAAAAAGCATATGACTCTGTCCCTCATGAATGGATTCTGAAGTCTCTTTGTTGTATTGACCTCCCGGAGCGACTACTTGATTTACTCAAGTCTTTAATGAGTTGCTGGTCGACTCAACTTGAGATGTACTCGTAAGTGCAGGTGCAGACTTCGGAATCTATTCCAATCAGAAGGGTAATTTTCCAAGGGGGACTACTTCAGTCCTTTGCTTTTTTGTTTGTCTCTAAATCCTTTGAGCTTTCTGCTCAACAGAGAGGAGGGATACCATCCCGGACCTCCTCAGCACAGATCCCCAACACCGCTTACTTATCTTCTTTACATGGATGACATCGAGCTCCTTGCCAAAGGAGATACCAATTTGAAAGAACAGGTTCTCCTTGTCGAGTCCTTTTCTAATGATATTGGCATGGCATTGGACTCAACAAATGTTATACTCTTCATTTGAAACGTGGCAAGGTAGTTAATGGTGGATAGTCAAGTTACAGGGGGAGGAGTTATAGAACATCTTGTGGAAGATCAGGCCTACACCTATCTTGGAATACAAGCTCTAGAGTGCCCAAATTCAAGAAAAACTTCGGGCCGAGTACAAATCTCGCTTAAAGAAAATCTGGAGCTCAGAGCTAAATGCTCGAAACAAGGTCAAGGCCATCAAAACTTTTGCTGTGCCAGTCCTCTCCTATTCCTTTGGAGTAATTGATTGGACAAAACAAGATATCCAGATTGCAATGTCCTTTTCTTCCTTACAATTGTCTAAAACTTGGAAAGGAACAAGGCAGTAAATATTTCTATCAATCTTTATTAAACACAAGCCTTTCCAAATCTTCTGGACAAGGTAAATGGGAAAAAGAATTTCATAAAGAATATACGGAATCTGAACAAGAAGGAATCTATTTGATGTCGAAACGGTGTACACAGAGTGTTAATTTGAAGTGGTTTCAGTTCAAACTTGTACACAACATTCTGTTTACAAACACAAATTTACATAAGATTGGATATGTTGACTCTCCACTGTGTACATTCTGCGAAGCAGAACCTGAAACAGTGATTCATCTGCTAAGTGAATGTGAACATTCAAAAAGAGTATTGAGTCACTTGTCAGCTTGGTTAAATACTGTAGCCGCAGGAAGAATTTGTTTCACAAACGAAAAAAATCTTCTTGGTTTTGAAGGGAAACATAACAATCCATTGAATGTGATCAGTGTTATTACCAAACAAAATATCTATAAATGCAGTAAAAAGAAAAACAAACCATGTTTTAAACATGTTAAGAGGGAGATACGTAACTATTATGAGGAAACAAAGATAAATTATTTTCAGAACTGTCAATTCTCCAACTTTTTCAGTTTCTGGTCTTCTTTTCATACTCTGTTTGCAGACATGACAAATCTTCCCTAGGGGTAAAATTATCCGAAAAATATATCCTTACATGTTTGAAAATTGTAAACACTCTACACAGTTATTAGCATTTTCTGTACACTAGTCTAAAGAATTACTAAAAACAAATTATGACTGTATAACACTTTTTATGTGCCATGTGGTACATTATCATGTATGGTGTAGGTAGATAATGTTACCTACTCAAAAACAAAATTGGTTTCACCTATTCAAACTAACATATACACCACAATTATTGGATTTTCTGTACATCATTACAAGTCAAAAGAATAATTTTAATATATTATGACATGTATAATACATTCTATGTGCTATCCGTAGTACATTATCATTCATGTTATACATATCTAATGATATCTTTTCACTTGCTGCAACTGTCAAATACTCTATACAACTATTGATATACTATGTACAGTACAATATTATCATCCATGTGGTATGTATCTAATGCTATCTTTTCACTTGTCGAAACTGTCAAATACTCTATACAAACATCGATATACTATGTACATCACTGCAAGTCAAGAAAATAGGTACAACATTCTACGATTTGTAAAACACTTCTAAGTGTCATCTGCTGTACATTAACATACCTGTAGAAACTTAGTGCTTTATGTACATCATAACTTAAAATCTCACTAAAATATCATATACTACCATGCCCCCAACAATGTTATCCAGATTTATACACATTACTGTATACCTACTTCTGTAATATATGAAAATGGGAAATAAAAGACTTAAATTATTTAAAAGAAGAAGAAGATATCTTGAGTCTTGACCGTCTGACCAGAAGGATCATGTCTGATAACAGAGCCGACCACCCTCGTTCCTCTCTCAACCGTTTATATATGCCAATCAATTCTGGAGGTCGGGGTTTGATTAATGTGGGGGCTCTTCATGATATAATTCTTTCGTGTACTTTGGCACATATTTATTTATCGGATGATCCTCTGGTGATGCATGTCAAGACTCATGATGAAAGCACAGAATTCCACAGCTGTTTTAAGCGTGCCAAGGTTGTTGGACAGAATCTGAAATTTGAGATTGATTTTGCTGATGGCGTTGTACTGCTGGACGGTACAGCGATGGGTGTAAACCAGGTGAAGTCCTTCACCAAGTCTGCCCAGAGTCGGTCTTTTGTGGAGAGGCTTTCTGAGAAGCCATTGCATCGTGTGTACATTCAGTGTGTGGAACAGAATAGCAATCCCACCGACTCCTTCGCCTGGATGAAGTCGGCTGGTCTTAAATGTGAAACTGAGGGCTTCCTTTTCGCTGCTCAGGACCAGTCACTTCCCATTCGCAATCGCCTAAATGTGATTCTCAAGGAGAATATTAACATGAAGTGTCGACTTAGCAATGAATTCACAGAGACTGTCCAACACCTTGTCAGTGGATGCCCTTCCTTGGCACAAACCGCATATCTCAAACGACATGATGGCATGGCTCGTTGCTTTTACTACTGTCTCCGCCATGTCTGTGGCTTTGACTCTGAGGTCCATCCATGGTACGACCCTGAACATGTCCAGGACGTCATGGAAAATGATGCTTTCTAACTTTTGTGGAATAGGCCCAGATACAGCCTCAGAAAAATTCCTGCCAACAAACCTGATCTTGTCCTTTTTGATAAAGCCAATGAATTTATTTATATCATTGAATTTTCTGTCCATTTTGACAGCAACGTGATTGGCAAGATTCAGGAAAAGCATGATAAATATGCGGACCTCGCCTTTGAAATGTCTCGCTTGCATCCTAAGTACACTGTCGTCAGGCTCCCCATTGTTCTCGGTGCCCTCGGTTTGGTACCTCCTGAACTCTTGGCGCAGATCAGGAGAGTGCCCGGGTTCTCCACCGGGAGTACAGCCCTTCTGATACTCTGGGTAATGCAGAAGGCTGCAGTGTTGGGGAGCCTTCATATTCTCCGGAAAGTTCTTGGTGGGTTCGACTAGGCAGTGTTTCCTGGGAGAAGTCCCATTCGCTGTCTGGGCTGCGTGTAGAGGGGGCAAGGGCCCTGAGCTGATAATGAGCCTTACCAGCCTGACTGTGCGAGGATCACCCGAACCCTCTCTGCTGCATACTGTCTTTAATCTGTAAAAACATAATAATAATGATAAATACTGTGTACTGTTCAAACCGGTCCAAGTGCGTAAAAGCACTGCACTGTGCAAATGTGGAGGAGACAAATTTATTTTCTAATTAAGTCAATCTAGATACAATTCCACTAAAGACATAATTGAGTAACCTGCCACAGATTGTTGAAATAGCTACTTTGACAATGATGTTGAAATCAAACATGTTTGCGTTGATTTTGATATGGTTTTTAAAGGTGATCCATAGGCAACTAAACTCATACATTATACATGTAAGTAAATCTTACATTTGTTACTTCAAAAAACTTTCATCTGTTCTCGCAATAATCTTGATACACAATTTATTAGGATTTGGAAATTTAAAATTGAGTTAAGGTAAAATATTTTTAAAAATTCATTTTTTCCCAAACTTTTTCCTCAAAATATGAAAAATGGCTAAAATGTGCAACGCTTCTCGTTTTGAATTTGCAAAGAAATGATAAAAAAAAGTTAGATCATGGGATGATCTCATACTTATTTACTGATGTAGTCTATATGGCGGCCATTTTGAAAAATGTTTCAATTTTCCCTTTTACGGGTTGTCATGATATAAATGACTTCCATAGACCTAACAATTAAAGATAGACAAGACATGTATATATGGAAAATGATCAGCTATGAATTTCCTACAATTTAATATGTGATTTATGAGAATTGAAGATTTTTTTTAAAAAGTAATGACGAAAATAGTAGAAAACATGATTATTTTTCACTTTTTTCCCCTAAAAATATGAAAAATATAAAAAATCTGCGAGGCCTCTCTATCTTTATTTAATAAGAAGAGTATAAGCTACAATCATGCCAAATTTCATGCTTGTAACACAAAGTGCACAATTCAGTGAAAAAACTGCACTTATCTGCTGGGCTAAGAGTAGCTTTACCCAGTCACACGGTGCTTTAGATATACTCAATAACATTCTATATTGGACTTACATTTATTCAGCACGAAATGATAACTTGTTTTTAGTCTCGGTATTGCTGAAATATTGCTGATGTGACAATCTTAACTCACTCACTGTATATTGTACGTGATGATTTGTCAGCACCAGGTCAGTCAATCTGCAGTCAGGAGGTCGTTGTAAATTGTAATATCCAGTTGTAATGGGCTGTTGATTAAAGGTCTATACTGTGCTACTGAAACTGAATACTTTGATTTCATCTGAGTGCGAATTACAAACATACACACGGTCATGGCCATCTACACAAACTCCGTGCGGGAACGAGACGACATCATCTTTAGTGAGTATGTTTCTGACAAACTGTCCTGACTCAGTGAGATGAACAACAGTATCTTGATAGTAGTCAGTAACCAGGATGTCACCTGTGCTGGTACTTGTGATACCACAAGGACTTCTCAGTGTTGTGTGTCCTGTTGTAGGGAAGGTGAACACAACGTCCCCTTCAGCTGTCAGGCACAGGACACGCTTCGAACCGCTATCCGACACAAGGATGTTTCCTGTTCTTGTTGTACAAAGAAAGTTGGGAGAATGTATGATGACCTTTCCACTATCTACAGCGTTCATTGACCTTAGGACGTTTCCTGTCATGTCCAGAATATCCACACATCTACCAGAACCTGCTGCTAGCGTGGATGGTGTTAGAGACGTTATACCCCAGTAATACTTGCTGGTTGTGATGGTCGACAGCAGCACCAGGTCAGGGTTCACTTCAACTGTTACAATCTGTCTGGTATCCGTTACAGTGACAGCCACCTGGTTGTGTTTCAGCCTTGTTATACCCCACGGTTCACCTCCCATGTTGAGTTTATTGTGACGTCGCTGTTTGTTCCTGTAGTAGAAGGACTTCACACTGCTGTTGTAGTAGTCTGTTACAACCACTGTGTATGTACCATTCACCAGCAACACTGTTACGTCAGCAGGGTAATCCTTAATGTCGTCTCCTGCTACCTTAATGCTAATGGTGTCCTGCAACACAGGAGCAGCCTCCAGGTCCAGCACATTGCCAGTGTCTTGTAGCACATCTGTTCCCTCAAAATTCAGCATACCGTCATACTGGACATCAATCTCACCCAGCTGTAGATCGTCCAGAGCTCTACACAGCCTGTCTCCGTTCTTTCTAAACATGATCCTGGTTATTCTCATCCTCTTCTTCACGTCTACGTCTCCAACAGCATCCATATCACCGGCCTCACATCCCTGATACATCACATACACGTCCATGTCACACTCGGAATGTAGAGTCTGGTCTATGAGCTCAGTCTGTTGTCGGTACATCTGTACTGATATTTCACCCGACCTTATGTCGGCTGTCAGTTGTTCAATGTGCTTTTCAGAAACTTCTTTCAGTTCATCTAGCAGTTTATTTTCCATGAGAGTTATCTTCTCTCTCGCTTTGGTACCAAAAGACTTGATGTCCTGTTCAATTTCTGCATATCGATCTTTTTCAGAAACCACGTTCACTTTAACAGCATCAACTTTCGTTTTCATTTCCATTTGCTTCTTCGAAATAGTTTCCTTCTTATTCAACAGCTGGGACTTTAATGCAGGTAATTCCGACTCCAGTGTGACAACTGACTCACATTTCCTGTGATAGATAACACAACAGGTGTGACAGGTGACTTTCTTGCAATCTTTGCACAGGAATTTGATGTTTTCATCTTTGTGTTCTTTACACTTGATGTTTCGTTTCCTTGGGATAATGGCCTCCCTAGTCAGTTCAGATGTATCGTGATGACGAGTTGATGAGATGCGACTGTGCACCCTAGCACATGCGTCACACAGGGCATCATCGCATACCGAACACCACACAGTCGCTGGAGTTGTCTCCCCTTCGCGATGACAGCACGTGCAGTTCTTCGAATCTGGAAACACAAGGTTGATTACAAATCAGCCATCATTATATCCTCGCGTATTTGTACCAACATCTATCTATATATTCATGATTTGTCAATGGTTGTTACTATTTAATGTTAGTGTAAGTTTCTTCACAACACGTTATATCTGCAAAACTGACTAAACGAGAATTCAAGAACTTGGGTCACCACGTTCACAAGTATTGTGCAGGTACAAATTGAAACACGTATCCATAAATAATGAGTGTACTCAAAGTCACATGCGGATAGGAAAAGGCATAGTACACACTTGAAAAGGGGGATGTCTTGCCTTTGCAAAGACTAAGAGGTCAACATGCCGTATTGGTACGACTAAAAACTTTATTCAGTGACCATAAACACATCTTTTTACAGATTGTAGGTCTAACTACACGTGTTTATGGGTTTTTTTCTGTTGAGTGTGATGCAAGACACATCCAGTAGACCATCATTGCAGTACCTGTTCAGCATCATCCTTACCTTTACATCCGGGGCCAAAAGAGTCCAGGAGTCCCTGGATGACAAAGCTCGGTTTGACGTCATCCGCCCACTCATCTATTGGTCTGTCAGGGGAGCTCACTTCCGTCGTCTTGCTGCAGAAAGGACACAGCAGAGACTTGGCACTGATGGCTTCCGGTTTGGTTTTGGTGTAGTTGACGACACATTTCCGACAGAATGTGTGATAACAGGCAAGGGTGCACGGATTGTCAAACACCTCTGTACATATGGTGCATGTGAGGAAATGTTCCTCCAGTTTCTGAGACGTCGCCATCTGCAAACAGAGGATGCACATGTAATCCATGATAATGATAATATCTAAACGATAGCAAGTGTTTATTTCAAATTTGTAAATATACCAGTGCTTCCACAGATGACAAGCGTTGCAGATGAATATCTAAACTTCTAGTCTATTTCTCAGTGATTATGTATAATCCCTGAAAATTTCAGTGGTTATGTATAATCACTGAGTGAATCAGACATTATACATAATCCATTTTTTCATATTCACTGTAAGATATATGGGGAAAACTCAAGCGTCAAAGGACAAGGTCACCTGCAGTCAGTATCTTGTGAAGCACAAGTGACACATATGGTTTTACCCTTGCTGCCCAGGGGTTCTTTACCTTAACAAGAACTAGCTTAATCCGGTTTTACTGATTTAGTACAAAAAGACACGCAACTTTATCAGTTACCACATCATCAAGACATGTTCATGAAATTCTTGAAAAAACTTGGAGTTAGGTGATTACTTCTCACACGGATTACCAAGTTATGTCTACATTGGCATGTATGGCCTATTTAAAATGATGAGTTTGATTAATGATTATTTAATCGCCAACACGTGACGTCATCAATAGATAAGCCTCTCACGTGACCCATACTCTGGTTGCTAAGACCTCATCAATGGATAATCCAACCATCTCGTTATCCTGTACTACATCATTTATTGAAAAGACGTTTAACCTAAGATGACATGAAAATAATGTAACAGAGACGACAACCCAGTCTATGTAGGTTGAAATGTTTGAGTAACTGTATTTAGTCATCTTCAAAGTTATCTCTGAGTATATACGTATGTCCCGGCTGCTAAGTTTTGACGGGGAACCAATGTTGATGAGGCCCTGACCTCGCTGAACCAAGTGTGTCTAGTTATCTGTCTGTTTTAACGTCTGAACAGCCAATCAATTTACTTGAAGATTTATGTTTACTTTTGCGTGTCTTTGTTTCTGTAACAACACCTGACAAAAATAGTCAGAACTTGGAAAGTAAGTAACTTGTGAGAAGTAATCCTCAAATTCCAAGTGACATGAATTTCATGAACAGTGTGAGGAGGATGTGTTCACTGATAAAGTTACGCCTCTTTTTGTACTAAATAAGTAAAACTGGATTAAACCATTTCCTGTTAAAGGTAAAGATTGATTGATTGAGTTTAGTTTAGTCTTACGCCGCTTTTAGCAATATTCCAGCAATATCAGGGCGGGGGACGCCAGAAATGGGCTCCACACATTGTACCCATGTGGTTAAAGATAAAGAAACTATACTGCATAACACATGACCTTATGAGGGTACAAAAAGACAAGAGTTGTCATAGTAATACGTCATGTGATTTACATCATTCTTACGTTGATACAGAAATATCATCCGATGGCAGGTGACCAGATGGTGGACACACGAACACATGCAGACACCAAGTTGCGGGTATAGTAACGTGCAGCATCATTGGACAAAATACTGTGACTACATGAATTGGGGGCCCAGTTCACCCAGCTTGAAATGGGTACCCTGTAGGGTAACAGGCTGCATGAGATGAATACTCCCCAGGGAGTTGAGTTGGTTAAAACATTGCCAGAAAAATGACATCCGTTGATCATGGGAACACTCCAGCACCTTGTGCATTTACTAGTTGCGTGGATATGTGTGCTATATAAATATCCTATAATAATAATGATTCATTTCTATGTTGTCACTTGTTCTCACATTCCCATATCGTCTATCTACTACTGCTGATAAAGAAGACAAAAATAATCACTCTTGTCAATATTGTGTACATAACGATTGATAAATGGATATAGAGAATCACGTGCATACTGATAAGAATTGTTTTTTCACGACGTCACCTAACAACCCAAGTATGGTGTCTCCCCTGTACAACATATAAACTTTATTACGTTTAGATTTTATAATATTTTTTAGCTTGGTCTTGTCCCCCTGTAAAGGCTTTTCATATTAGTATTATTCCAATTGGTGCATTTACGTTTATTGTCGCGTATATGATGTACTGGCGAAGATTGCAAAACTCATTTCGAAAACGAAAGCAAGCTGTAAGAGATTTCCCAACAAATGCAATAACACTTGACACTATACACCCATACTGTCTCAAAACTGTGATATATGTACATATGACAGGCATAGTAATTAACTGGCGTCAGTGTATAGGTAAGCCTACACACCAACTTGTTTGAGATGAGGGTAGTCGGTTCCCTCAGTGGGAAGGTCACACACAGGAAAAACAACACCATGGCTGAAATTTTAGACTATTACCACCGTATTATTTCACACCTGGTCGTTCAATCACGGCGTACTGACGTCTCTCTATCTTAACATTGTTAGAATTGAAATGAAACATGAAATCTGGCAAATATCGCCAGCACGCCCACTTACCTTTACTTCCTCGTTCCACCGAGTCGGTGTAGAGTTAGATTGGACTGGTTAGCGACGGGTTATCACCGAGCATGCCAACCACCCGTTATTGAGCTCAAGGTTGCGAATATATTTTGCTTAAGGGAAAGCATGTAGGCGGCAAGGGTCGGAGTTGTTACGGGAATAACACGATATTGCACACATCGCTTTGTCGTTGCTTTGATTTTGCGCGTCGTTTCATTCGAATACAGGAGTATGTAACCTGATTTCAAACTCTCTTTAAACTTCACACCTGAATGTTTCGCGAAAACCGTAGTACATAGAGGCCGGGGGCCCGAGGGGGAAGGATAAGCATAGTGGTGAAGGTCTGGCCCGTCACGCCCGAGGCCTGTGTCTTGATCATGTTGACGATCTACTATATTACAGAGCAAAACAACATCAAACCTAGTTCGTGATGAAAGCAATTTTTAATTAACATCTGCACTGAAACAGGTCCTAGACTGGGCGAAACCCACATGCACGAGATGCCACATAATTGGGCACAGCAGAATTCTGGCATGACCTTGACACATCTTGTACCTTGACTCATCTGCATTGTTCCATGTAGTCAATGTTCATTTCGACTTTTAACTTTGGCTATTTGGGTCTCTCCCCATATTCTGTCCACGCCAAGTCCCATCCATACATGATTACTACCCCGTTCTCTTATAATGAATTCCATAGGCCTATTTTCCAACACAGTACAGAATCAAATTACATTATCCTTTAAAGACTGTAGCAACTCGCCTTATCACCTGCTGTCTTAAATACAACTGTGGACACATGTGGTGTCTCACGGACACGTCTCCATAATTATGGCTTGAGACACATCTTAATGAAATATTCACTGAAAACAGGCTCCTGGATCAATATAAAGATCAGGCTCACTAAAACTAGACCCAAGGCTTGATTGGGGATCCATGCCCAACTCTCTTTCTGTTTTTTTGGGGGTTGATTGTTGAATCCAAACCTATGACCTGGATAAGATCTATGCAAAGCTAGCGAAAAAAGAAGTCACTTTTGAAATAAGGTTTTGAAATTTTGTGAATTTATCATTCCTGGTTATTTGTGTTGAAATGGCTGAATTCCTCATAATTTGTGTGAGTGTTTCGGGGGTTGAAAGGTTTATTGGTTGAAGGTTTGTTGGTCGAGAGGATGGTTGATTGAGAGATTGTTTGTTTGGTGAAGTGGTTGATTGAATGAGGGAGTGGACAATGCGTTTGTATTGTTTTGCGATGTGGGTGTATGGCTAAGCCTCTTCGTATTCATGGAATATCAACTCAAAGTCTAAATTGTTTAATGCAGAACTCCACTGTTACAACACGGTTCCAACACATACATGAAAGTCAATTGCGACTTGATGAAACATTCATGAGACAAAGATGTAACTGCGTTGAAACTCAAGCATAACCTAGCGTAGTAATAGATTTAAGTGATCTGAAACGTTAGGTGAAACTTTCCTGGCGAATACAGACTTTTACCTGCTCTTTTACTGCAAAATAAATCTTCAAAATTATCTCTTCATGACGCAGACCGCGTGGCTTCCTTTTAACCGTCAACTTCCGCTCATAACGTCCCCAATTACAGTTGTTCCCCTTGATACCAAAATTACTGTGAGCGGCGAGTTGCACTCAACTTAATAAAACTTAATGTCTCTGAATAACTGATTCCAATAGTCCGGGAGGACAAGCGTCGCTGCGATCAGTGTCTGTCTAGAATCATCTTAAACTAAAGTCACTCTTGTGAAAATATTACTGGAACTAAAATCATTTGCAACACGAACTTGAATCCTCCATCTCTGAAGACCTGTCGACTGGAACAAGCAACGCAAGACGCTGCACACTGCGAGAGACTGTAGTGTCCTTCACTCCAGTATACACCGACTGTTTTTCACCTTGTTTCGGGTTCTTGTAGGTCAGAGTCACTCTGCGCACTTTGCTGTCACTGCCGGGGAACACTTCCTTTATCAATCCCAGCCTGTAGTCTCCGCGTAGAACTCTTTTGTCTGCAACAAGAACTACATCACCTGGCTGGAGATTGCGTTGAGACGTTGACCATTTCTGTCGGACAACAAGACGTGTTGGAGCAAACAACTCCGTCCAGTTCTTCCAGAATTCATCTGTGATTGTCTGGACCAGATGATACTTTGATTCAACCGAACCTCTGGGTTGCCATCCGCCTGGATTCTTGGCTGTAGCTCGACCAAGTAATAAGGAGTTTGGGGTGAAGACTGTTATGTCTGAGTCTTCACTGATCCGAGCACAAATAGGACGTTCATTCATCAGGTTGGTTACCTCTGCACATACTGTCAGAAATTCAGATGCATATAATCGTTCGGATATTGTGGATAGCAAAATGAATAGCTCTCTTGGCACTCTTGACAAGTGCCTCTACTGCTCCTTAGTGCCAAGGTCTGTCTGCAGGTCCAAAGATCCGTTGCAGACCATTTTCTGTACTTGGCTTGTTACAAGACCTGTGTCAGTCTTCTGCCATGCTTTTCTCAGTTCACGCTCCGCTCCAATCAGCTGTGTTCAGGATCACTGTATATGGTTTCTGGCCAGACTCTGATGCTGACAAATCTGCTGAAGGCTAGGAGGAATGAGTGTGTGTCGTAGTCAAGTACACCATCTTGTAGCAGGGCCTGTGAATATTACTCCATAAGCCTTCCCACTTGTACGTTTTAGGACTTCACCTCGTATCTTAGATGGTCCAAACAAATTGGATGATTGAATGGAGTAGAAAACTTCAACCTCGCTTCTGGAAGGGGGTTGATTTCCTTTGCGAGTAACTTTGGCTCCCTTAACTTACACAACTGACAGTTTGCCTTCACACTGTTTGCCAGTTTGTCTCCATGACGAACCAAATAGTGTTGTCTGAATCTTGCAAGTTTAGCGTTTCTTCCTCTGTGTCCTGCTTCATGGGCCTTCTTCATGTAGAGCCTTGCAACATAGTGGCATGCAGGTAGGAGTTTCTGTATTGTCGAGTCTGATGTCATGGCGTTGAACCTTCTCATGCGTTCCCCGACAGTCCATATGTCATCATCACTGAATTCAACATTGAGCCTTTTTGTAGGTCTTCAAGGATTGTTGCAATGAACTTTTCTGCTTCACGGAGGTCTTTTGGGGAAACATTCATTTGATGGCCACCTTTGAATGACTTGTACCTGAGTACATTCATTTACATTTACATTTACATTGATATACATTTATATAGCGCAAATATCCAGTCTTGAGAAGACTGCTCAAGAGCGTTGCTGAACTCCGTATGCAATGCTGAACAAATGAGTTTTTTATCTGGATTTGAAAGTAATGAATGTCTGTACTGATCGAAAAGAGAGAGGTAATTTGTTCCACAAAACTGGGCCGACAAACCTGCAAAGACCTTTCACCATATGTCTTGGTCCGGCAGACTACAGATGGCGTGTTGGCTGATATTCTTGCACAAGGTCTGAGAGATAAACTGGTGCCGTGTTGTGCAAGGCTTTGAACATCAATACCAATATTTTGTAATGGATACGTTGTCGGATGGGTAACCAGTGCAATGTCATCAGAACAGGTGTTATATGCTCTGTCTTCTTTGTGGGTGTCACAACTCGGGCAGCTGAGTTCTGGACTCTCTGTAACTTGCTCAGAAGATATTCTGGAATCCCCTGCAGCAGAGCATTGCAATAGTCCAACCGAGATACTACATATGCTTGCATCAATGTTGCAGCAGTTTGCTGGTTGATGTACTTCCTGATTAAGCCTATGTTGTGGATGAAATAGTAGGCATTCTTGCACATTTTATTGACGTGCTTTTCAAGGCTAATAGTGCTGTCAATTATCACCCCAAGATTGCGAGCATGATCAGTGGGTTCAATGATGCACTCATTGATTTCGATGTCGCTTCCATCGCTGAGTATGACAAGACTTGGCTTTCCAATTGCATCATCTGGGCGTAAACACCTGTCATACTTCACATTTTTCATTTCAAACATAGATTTGAAGAACTTGTTCCACTTCACCTGGAGACTCTGAGGGAGTACCTCATCCCATTGCAGTTGCAATATCCATGTGTCTCTCAAGTACATATTTGCGAAAAGTGTAAATGGGCTTAAGAAACCCAGAGGATCATAAATGGTCATGACTTGTTAAAGGACCATTCTTTTTGTGAGTCTATCTGGTATACCTCTTGGGGCGTCTGTCTCTTTCAAGTTGGGACCAGTCCGTTGACCTTTCTTCTTCTGTGAGATGTTCAGTGTTACTTGAATTTCCATCAGATCTTCTCAAGGATTCCAACCCGTGCCCAATACTCGTAGGTGCTCCTTTGTTCTTTTGAGCAGCATTTTGGATTCAGATTTTCCCCTTGGATTTTCAAGATCCTCTGCTTGTCGACTGAACTGCCAACACTTGACTTGAAAACCACCTTTGCCCAGCATACTTTCCGCTTCCTCTGATATCTGTTTGCTTCTACAATGTCAACGAGATCATCAGCATAACTTGACTTGAGAAGTTAACTTGGACTTTCCTCCTGAACATATCAGCAGTCTTGTACATGGCTTCTGTGCTTATCGCCGGAGCTGGTTTATGCCCCATGTTGACACGTTCAATGATGTATACATCTGGTTTCCGATCAGTTTCCAGATTTCTCCATAAGAAACGATGACAAGTGATTCCATGTAAATGAAGTTGAATATCTTCCTGATGTCTCCTACTACTGCAACGGCATCTTCTCGCCACCTTAGCAAAAGTCCAACATTGTTGTTCAGGTAGCAGTCTGGGCTTTTGGCAAGACAGCTGTTGAGAGAGATGCCTTTTACGACTTGGCTTCAATTAAACACAATCCGAGGTTTGTGACTTTGGGTTCACTACTGCTACGTGATTGATATAAAACTTGGGTCCAGTCCAACTTTCTGACTCTTCTGTGGAAAGTTTTCTGGCCACCCCCCTGTCCACCATATCTTTAATGGGTAGACAGTAGGTTGATGCCCACTGTGGATCATTCTTCAGTTGACATTCAGTGTTCAGAAGTGTCTGGTAGGCTACATTGTAGCTGTCTGGGAGTACTTGTGGGTTAGAGAGTGAGTGAATATTTAACGTCACAGCGGCAATATTTCAGCCATATCGTGACGAAAACAATTTATACATTGTGAAGAGGTAAACCTGTCGACGATGGACAGTAAAAACACTAGAGTATCACAGATATGACCATAAAACTGGCATGTAAAACTAAAACAGTGTTATTAAAGAAGACAATACAATATATAACACGGGCTATAGATCGCCAGCATCTGAAGGTAGATCACCATACTAGGAACCATGGAGACTTACATTACTTTTGCTACCTGCATGGAGCCTAGCTGGATTTACACCATCCCTTCAGCCGTGGCGATTGTAGGATAATTTGGCCGAAATTTAAAAGAACAAAAATACTACGTTTAAAAACCTGGTACGTGAAAATTTTACTTGAAAGTTTTTGGGACTTACATGCCTCTCAGGAGGAAAATAATTTTACGCTACTTCAACCCCCTTTGAGGATACAGCCACAAACAATCTAAGTTGATAATTTGAACTACCAATTATAAAACTTTATCTATTTACAAAACATATATCAAAATTCCTTTTAACAAATCTATCTCTTTTAAAAATTCAATGATTAAATGATAATTAACTTTATTAAAAAGGTCCTTTACTGTTTTGATATTGAAATATTTATCCCTTATGATGGAGAATTCAACAGAGTCAAGCAGGACATGCTTGACCGTGGTTTTCTCATCACAAGGGATATAAAACGGAGGATCCTCACCTTTCAATAGGTATGCATCAGTATATCTTGTGTGGCCAATACGACATCGTCGTATGATGACCTCTTCAAATCTGGACTGACAACCCAAGTAGGTATATCCAATATACGGCTTTATTTCATGTTATTTCTTAATACCCACTTGAGTGTCCCACTTCTTCTGCATCAGATCACGGATGTACGATCTAATGGGAGCTTAGTAATCCGAGTATGGAATAAGAAGTGGTGTCACAGATGTTGAGCGCTGCCTTAGCAGTAAAATCGGCCATAGTGTTACCAGAGATTCCAACATGGCTGGGTAACCAACAGAGGCAATGTCATATTGAAGAAGAAGAAGAAGAGCTTTATTCAGTATTTATGGCCACATGACCAAAAGTACAATTCAATAAGCAAAATAAAGCACATGGCCAGGAGAACAATTTACAATTTATACAGGTAAATAAAGTTTAAGATAAATTGCAATATATTTTAGGAGTTTTACATTCTTTGTTGCAAGCAGCTGGGTAAACTTTGATCTGGTTGGAGATATAATATAAAAATCAGGAATGTACAAAGAGCGTTGTTGTGAATAAAATGGACATACGAGCAAGAAATGATACTCATCTTGTATCAAATTACAATTACATTTATCACATTTAATGGAATCAGCATTTACCTTATCAAAACGGTTGTGTTGAATTTTAGGTTTATGACTCATGCATCTGAATTTAATTAAAACTCGTAAGAGATCTTTATCATAGCAAAACTCTGATATATATTTTTCCGGTTCAAGTACAGATTTATATGACGAGTAAAGATTTAAGAATGATGAAGAAGTGATTTTTGCATACCAATTCTGTATATCTATATCTTTACATCTCTGTTTAAAAACACTTATAAAACTTGTTACATCGCCACAATCTTGCGATAACCACACAAAAGAAAACCCAGAGTGAAATAAAAGTAAACGTACATGGGATACCCAATTGCGACCACCATTGTCATCGTATGTTTTTAACATTTCATAGCATGCCTTTGGAATACGATAACTTTCCATATTCAAGAGTCTACACCAGTACTTTATACAACGGGTGAAATACTGTACACAAAGATGGCTTCTACCTGTTTCACCGAGTACAATGTTTGAAGATACAGTTTTGCTAACACGAAGATATCTTTTGAAATAATAACTTTGTATTTTTTCAATGTTTGCACAATAGGTAAACCCCCATATTTCTGCACCATAAAGCAGAATCGGTGCAATTTTGCTATCAAATATAGTAGATGCCACATTCAAAGAGATATTTTGATAAGTTCTGAAAAGAGAAAATATCGGAAATGAAGCCTTCCTAGCTTGTAATGCTAATGTTTCACATGCTTTAGACCAGTACAATTTTGATGTGAAAACAATGCCAAGATATTTATATTGGCCAGTAGCAAAGCTCATTGTATAATTCTATTATTTCTATTAAAAGTGGATGTTTGCAAGAAAGATTTTTGATAGCCTGAAGACACGAAAGAGAGTCGAAAAATATTATATACTGTTTATATTTAGTTTTTTTTTCATATATTTAAGCGCTGTTAATATGGCGTTAGCTTCTGCTGTGAAATTAGAGCTATTATCCGGTAATCGGGAAGATATTGTTCTGGATCCAATGCCAGTGGCACAAGCAACCGCGCCACCATCCTTGGACCCATCTGTAAATAAGCATTTATATGTATTATATTTACTTTTTTATTGAACATATTCTTGTTTATAATGTAAGTCATTAGTGTCTGATTTTTTTAAATTTAGTGTGTGTTAGGTCGACCTGTGGCCTAACCAATTGCCAAGGAGAAGAAGAAAGAAGACGGGAAGGAGATATATTTTCCAGCTCAATGCCGGTAGCACAAACGAATGGTTTGACTCTTAATCCCAGAGGCGGAATAAGAGAAGACTTTTAGTTGTACAGATCCTCAAAAAGAGGGTTGAAAACACAGTTAAATGCAGGGTTAGACTCGTTAGAATAAAGTTTTGTTATATACTGCAAGCATAATTTTATACGGCGTTGTGTAAGAGATGGCTCATCGGCCTCAACACAGAGACTGTCAACAGGAGAAGTTCTAAAGGATCCAAGACATAGTCTTAGACCTTGATGGTGGACAGAATCAAGAAAAATTTAAAGGTTACTTTTGCAGGCTCCATCATATACGATGAAGCCGTTATCAAGCTTCGAACGGACCAGTGATTGCTATAGATGTAGGAGGGTAGTT